TAAATTATCATAGAACAGATTTCTAACATGGCTATAAAGATCACCTAAATACTCTTCTTGGAATTCCTTACCACTAAATAAAAATTTCCTAGCACCTAAAGGCCTATCCACACTGTCATTATCTAGTATTCGCCTATGCTTTATACTCATATTTCTCATCCAAATAATAATCAACTATCTTATTTGTTTAAATAATCTAAATTAACACTTATGATTATCCCAATCGTCTCACTTACATTCTAATATTGACACTACCACAAGTTATAATTACTATGCAATTACTATACTATTACTATAATATTCCTTCTATCTCAATACCGGAATATAAAACTCCCATATATTATTATCATACACAATTTAAAACACACTAAATTATATATATTCCCAGCTCATAAGAGTTTAAGATCCCTCTGACAGAAATTGATATCATAAATAATATCAGTCTTTACCATACACTAATTCCTACGTCCGTCACAGAACTAGTTTATTTAATATGCTTTAAATATTGATATATCAAGTTGCTTCTATTCATACAATTAATCTTAAAATATCTGAAGGGTTTTCTTTGAAAGAGTCGTAACCATTTAAATATAAGTTTGTAGTGGTCATGTTACTAATAGTGGCAATGTAATGATTTCATCTTCACCTCTTGTTTCAAAAGATTTCGTCAGTTTGTTCTTGGTCAGTCATTGATTTTTGTTACTGGTTATCTGCCATTTTTCTATTCAACTAGCTAACTTGCATAATTCAACATACTTTATCGTAAAATAACTAAAAATTGTTAAAAATTTATAAATGAAAGGGAAAATATAAATATTACCAAATAATACAAAAGTCTCAAATGTTTGAATATGGTTAGAATTAGAAGCGTAACCAACAAACCAGCAAACCAGCATCTAAGTAATCTAATTAGAATAATTACATGAAGACATTAAGTTTGTTTGTGCAGTTCGAAACTGATAAATTACTTTTGACATTGTTAACAGTTTCGAGGTGTCTCTCATCTGTTGTTCCAAAGTAATGCGCTATATTAAGGAGAAACTAATCCTTATTTTGTATTATTCAGAATTAAAGAAAAATTAGATAGTTTCACTAATACAGAGATATATCCCTTTATGTAACTTGAGATCTTCGACTATTTATTCTAATCAGATAATGGTTATACTGGTATACTGATTATTCATCTGACGCTAACCATATTCCATCAGTTCTATTGTATGCGATATATTTTCTTATTGAAAAATATATATATATATATTAAAGCGATATTTAAAATAACGCCATTGTTCCATAATATTTAATAGTTTCAGCAATATTTCTTAGCTGGAGTTTGCCATTGTCTATTTCGTTCTCCATATGCATCGCTAGGATTCATTGAATATTATCAATGCTAGCTGAAATGTTATTTGACACAAACACATTTAACATTTATGAAATCAAATATGCATATTTGACCTTGGGCTATCCTTCGAACGTGGCGTCAGTGTTTGCGAGAGTGGGAATAGGTTTTTTAGTGCCCTATTTTCTCCTGGAATCTCATTATTTGGGAAAGCTATGTATAATAATTTTGGTAGAGAGAAATATGCAATTGGGTGAAGACCCTAAATATTAGGATTTTTATCAATCGGTGTCTCTTCGATTCCATTTTGTTGGATTCTGTAAATCAATAGATGCAAACCAGCGAACCAGCAAACCAGCATCTAATTATAATAATTAGATGTGATCCTTAAGCTATATAATACTATATAATATAATCAAAGATTAGCTTCCCAAACATATAGCTTAGAAAATTGGATACTAAAATTAATAATAATTTCAAAACTGTAAATAAGTCCTTCTCAGTTTGAATATGCGTCAACGCCATTAATATAAGCACCTTCACCACGAACCTTTCACTTCAAACATCTAATATTCCTTACTCTAACATATTTGCTACATTAGTTTCCAATTCCTATCCCACTTCCATTCAAAAAGAATAATTTTACATAATACAACTTTAAATCATACTTTTGTTTTATTGTATTGACCGTTTTATAACGAAATAATTCACTCAGATTAAGGTCAGGTAAATTAGTACAGCAGTTTAACCAAATGTAGTAAGATAAAATAAAAAATTCATATCTGAAATATAATACTAATATTATTTCAACAGTGGTTTGGAAAGGAAGAAAAATCAACTTGATTCATTTAATTAGAATTATTAATCTATTCATGAAAGAAAAAATGTAATTCGATGCTATACAAATACATCAACAAACATTAAAAAGCATTCTCAACTTACAATAATATCTCTTGGTGATGCAACGCGAATTTAGGTTCTCGACATTTTTCTAAAATAAAACAGGCGAATGGAAGTTATCTTAACATTGGTATATGTCAATACATACTTAATTTAATAACTTGGAACTGTTCAATATGCAGCACGATTTACATTACCACTTATCAGAAGGAATTTGTTTCTCTTGACTGCTAAATCTTCAATAACAACCCAATGTGTCTATCTCTACAATAAAGATTCCATTTCAAAAAGAATGTTTTATTTCGGCACTTACTCATAAATATACCCCAAGTTACTTCTTTCTCTTTTCCTGTCCTCTCATCATCACTCTCATCTTCTGTTACCTGGACAAATGGTCTCCTCTTTCTATCTCGATTTTTCATTTTAAATACACAACTCGACTTATACAATTCAAGAGTAAATAGTAAAATAGTTGTAGTAGAATGTTTATTAAAAGTATAAATTACATAATATATACAGTAAACTAAACATGGATTCAACCACATTACAACTAGGCAATGACACAGTTGCAAGCACAGGCAGCGCCAGCACAAGCAGCACCTGCAACGGCGACACCTGCGGCACCTGCAGCAGCTCCAGCTAACAACAAACAGCAGTTGTCTTTGTTTTCTTGTTTGGTTTGAGTCTTTTGCATCTTGTATATATTTGGGTATGATGGGCTGTTTCTTATGGGAAGACAGGAAGATAAGAAGATTGGAAATATCGAAACATAGAAACATGAAATAGCTATCCTATTTATATAAATTAAAATCAATGGATTCATAGTAACGATAGATAGCCAATTACTTCTCACTTCATCATATATTTCCCGTTTCAGAACAACAGTCATGCTACTTGATTGCCTAATCTGATAATATCTTATCATCTATATACAGTTATCCAATCTTATCCGGGTTTAATAAATTTGTTTCACCATTCTGATGGCATACACCATAAACCTAGAGATTCATGTATGTCCTAAACACAATCATTGACCAGACCATAAAATCTGGTTGCTGTGACAAGGACTCCTTGGGATCGGTACTGGACAGTAACTCATGTCACATACATTCTTCATTCCATGAACTCGCTTTGTTGTCCGTTTCCCAAAGAGGTATTTGTTGCGGACGTGATGTAACGACATTTTTCAGTATCGAACAAACTGGATCTTCGATTTTGAGGAACTGACAGGACTAGATGTCCTGTGGGTTGCTTCGTAAACGAAAAGTGTTGATACACAGAAAATGGAACATGACAGATCCAAACAGTAATGTGTCATATTTAGTTTCAACATTCTCTATTAGAACGATATTTAATATAACTTTGGTAGTACAGCGAATTAAACAAAACCATGATGTAATATGGCCATGTTTGGTATAAATGGGATGCTGTAATAAGATTGTATTTGTAAGAGATTCAACTTCATAATAGGTAAATATTAAATCGAATTGCAACCTATAGCATCTGAACGATAATTTATATATATATTATGTTCGATTTCCCGTATCCAATTTACAGATAAGCCCAGGGTAAGTTCGATAATCAAATTCATATCCTTCTGTGTCAGCAATATTGTCACTTCTCATAGGTTTCGCATAAACATTTCAAAATATGGCATGCTGAACATAGGTGCTTCCAACTTAATCCTTTCCAGTCTTCACTACAACCCGTCTCTTAGATTCAAGTTGCAATTATGCTAATAATACATATTTATTGATATCTTGTACATAAAGAGTATATAATATTACAAAGTTGTGTCAATAGCACCTATCAATTAAACAAGAAATCCAATACCGTGAGTAAAACACATCATCATCAAACTCCAAGCAAAGATTGAAGCGAAGACACTAGGACTCTTAATGGCATACGACCCGTTCTTCTGAGAACCCATTGTATTGTTAGAATGGGTTGAACTGGTGGAGCTGGTTGAACTAGTTTTACCACTATGCGTGGAGGTACCTGAACTATCAGTCTCGCTTGATGTTTTCGAAGTAGTGGTTCTGTTTGAACTTACAACACTACTACGAGCGCTAGAGGAGGTGGTAAATACCATTCTAACTGATGATGTAGGGGTTTCATTTTTCGAAGCTGACGAATTCGAATCATCAATAGCTTCGTAATACGTATAGTTGTCAAATGGATGTGGAAATAAATCGTGCTTCCTCAACTTTTGGTAATCCCATTCAGGTGCACTTTCGGTTTTCCAGTTCCAGAAGAACCAGCCTTTGGTATAAGTAGAGAAGCTTAGCAACTGAGCTTCTATATATTTCCTAGTTTGAATCTTGTACTCTTCAGGCCATTGATCTATTGGGTTTTGAGACACACAGGTTCCATAACCAGTTCCATAATCGGATATATTGCCTTTTCCGCCTGACTTGTAAGAGGGAGGATATAACGTATTATCGAAAACCGCTCCCAATCTAATACCGTTTAACCATGTTGCACAATCAGTTAATGCAGCACTCCATCTACCAGCAAAATAAATTTGGAAACCACGATCTTGGCTCAGATATCTAGATTGTCTTAGAATAGAATCAGGGATATTAGGCCAAGTTGTATTGTGGAAATTATAGGAATCGAAACAGTTAAAAAATTCTATATCTTCTTCTACTAAATTCGAGTCAGATGTATAATTTTCACCTTTATAGTAAGGACTAGTCCTATCATGCAGTGCTAGGTTTAATTTATTTTCTGAAACAGATAAAAATCCACCCTTTTGTTGTATCATAAAGGTTACATTTGGGTTTGGATTTTCTAGGTCGTTCTTTGTAGTCTGATAAGACGCAAATAAATTAGCGTAGAATCCAGTCAAATCTAATTCATCATTAAAATAATCTGAAATGGGGGCAAACAATACCTCTAGACCAGAAAGAGAAGATGGAGAATCTAGTTTTAACATATAATCAAAATAATTCTTAAGAATCTCGGAAGTAACATCCATGATATTTCCCTCTTCCCAATATGTATCTTCTAAGTCGTCATAAATGTTGAAGTAGTTTCCTGAATTATGCACCGCATACAACTCAACTACAACCTTCAAATTATATTTTAATGCCCACTCTAAGGCTTTATCTAAGTACTTTTTCTGGTTTGAATTTATATATGCGTCATTATGCGTTATGTTACCAGGGTATAAATTAGTTTCATTGTCAATCTTCCACGCCCAAAACCCAATTGGAATCTTGACATAATTGAAACCTTCATCGCTAATCTTCTTGAAGTCATCTTCAGTAATCCAGGTTTTGAAATGAGTTTCTAATAATTCCTTAGTATCATCGTGTCCTAATGCTTCGCATAAAGTGTATTCGTCAATAATAGTTACTTTTGATCCCTTTTTCTTTGCCAGAGCAATTGCGTCCTTGTATAGTGATGGAGTGATGTAAGGTTCGGTCACCAACCAACCACCAATATTAATACCTTTATACTGGCCATGATATTCTGGAATTGCTCCGTTGTCTTCATTTTTGCTTATTGCATTCTTATCGATATTGAAGCTGAGAGCTAAATTGAAGAACACAGATATTAGCAGGAATATATTTATGCGTAACATATTCAAACAATCAGTTATATACTTCAACTAAAATACACTTGATTATATTTCTACAGAGAAATTTGCATCTAATAGTTCTTGATCGTGGAATTCGAGAAACAGTTTTGGTAATTGCAATCATTTCTGTATTTATACAATTCATACCTTCAACTTTACAAGATAGGCAACGACTGGATGCGGTTGTGGATATCGAATAAAAACTTTTCGTGCGTGTTGTTTAGGCAATTTACGGTTGCCAGTCGAAACCGAAGCAACTGTTCGAATTCACCAAGATCTCTAAATCGGGCTCTAATAACTCTGCAGAATATAAGATAATTTCGAGCTACTGCGTGGGTAAATGCAAAATCTCTTCGTTGCCTCTTATGGCAAACAGTCGAAAGGAACAAGGAACCAGGGAATGTACTGCAGAGACACTCAGTCAGTTCTTCGAAATGGTGTATTCTTTGATTAGCACTATCTGAATTCCAAAGTTATGGATATTTAGTTGGTATACTAGTTTCAAATAGTAGTTACTCTTCACCTTTGTCAATGTCGACAACTATATAAAGTCTCGTTGGGGGACACATATACTTTGTTTAACTTTTTATCATTCACCTCCAGCAAGACATAGTAATGTGAATCATATATTTTTTCTTAGTTAGGGGTTTTTAAAGGTTGAGAAAATGATTATATTCAGTTATGCATCACCAATTATGTTTTTTACTCAAATTACAAGTATTCTTTCATGAGAAAGTAGTCAACAGTTCTTAGGACAACATTTAGTAGATCGAGTTTCAATTCTCTATTGATTAACAATCAAACTATCATTTTCAAGTTAGTAGTAGAAGCGGCACCAATTATTTCTCGATTCCCACTTTTTATTATTTTATCAGAACCAACCCTTAATTCTTAAAGTTACCCACTATTGATATCGGTCTATTCTCACCAAATTTTAAATTTCTTAAAGATTTGAGGTGAAGAAATTCTACCTAGTGTAAATGACCAATTATAAAACAAATGACACTGAAAAAAGAATTAATTCACTTTGCAGTAAACTTAAAAGGAATTATAGGGATTTAGAAAACCTTATTTTTCTTTTTTTTAAAATAGTTGTATTTAATTACATCACGTAACCTTCAAAAGACATTATAACCTAACTTTTTCTCTTTGTCAACATTAGCAAAAAAAAAGTTTCAATAATTAAATAACTTGTATTCTTCTTCCCACTAAACTTTATTCGACCCTATACATTACCCAGGGGTGAGATTCTGAAAATATATTTTATTCTTCCTGTTTTTTTTCTCTTCAGCTCCTCATTATTAGATTTTCCCCTGATTAAAAAGGAAAGGTTTTATTTTATGTTTTTTTGACATTATTGTAGAATTTTATACATTCTAGAATGTAGTTATTTCCTCTTAGAAACAAACTTATGATGGCAGATGTGAAATTTACTGAAAGATAAAAGGTGATAGTATGGCCCAATCAATTTTTAATAATTATATGATAATCTAACAATATTGATCTATTATTACTATTCCATATATCTATATATATATATATAATATAGATAATCTTATTTTGTAAAATTTTAAATATATATTCGATGTATTTTCTTCGAAAGGCAATACAATGATATATGTCTGTATATTGAAACAATCATTGGCTATAATTAAGGGATTTTATTATTTTCATTAAAATGAATCAAAAAAAAGTCCTAATTTCATTAACTTCAGATAATGAAGTTTTCTATTTAGATGGTGCTAGAACAGGAGTATTTGTAGTTGAAGCAATGCATCCGTACAATGCATTTACAAAAAAAGGTTTCCAGGTTGATTTTGTTTCGGAGACTGGTACTTTTGGCTGGGATGACCATTCCTTGGCTCCTGATTTTTTGTCAAGTCAAGATAAATTGGATTTTGATGATAAAGAATCTGATTTTAATCAATGTATAAGAAATGTTAAAAAGGCAAGTGACATTAATCCTGATGAGTATTGTATATTTTTTGCATCAGCAGGCCATGGCACTCTATTTGATTATCCAACTGCTAAGGGCTTGCAAAAGATAGCCTCTGAGATTTATGATAATAATGGTGTCGTCGCTGCCGTTTGTCATGGACCAGCAATATTTGATGGTTTGATTGAAAAAAAAACTGGGAAACCCCTAATTGAAGGCAAGGCTATTACTGGTTTTACAGATATTGGTGAGGTCATCCTAAAAGTTCATGGAGTTATGAAAGAAAAAAATTTACTCTCTGTTGAAGATATTGCTAAGAAGTACAATGCGAAGTATTTGCCACCAATTGGGCCATGGGATGATTATTCAGTTACGGATGGAAAGTTGATTACTGGTGTAAATCCAGCT